TTCTCTTTCATTATTTCCCATATTTTCTTCCTCTTTATCTTGTCAAAAGTGGCCTTCATGTCGGTAAAGAATACGTACAGTTTTCCTCCTTTTTCCCTTATTTTCTTCCCTATTATTGTTTTCAATATATATATATTGCGTCCAATGTTCCGCTTTTCTTCCTGGATCCAATCTGTGTATCGCTTAGCGTCTCTTTTGCTTCTAGTTCTCTTTCCAGCTTTTACCTCAGTATTTCCACGTATACGAGGGTGGTCCGATAAATACTTAGCCTCACCGCCCGATGACGCCACTCTCGCAAAAGAAATATTCTATCACATAGTACAACCTTCTCAATGGTTACAGTCAAGATTTCAGCCGAATCGGAGTTGTAGTTTATTTTTGAGAGCGTGTGAAAGCAAGTGTGTCCGTTGATTTTTGAAAAATGGAAAAAGAGCAGTATCGGTCGGTGATTCGATTCTTGTTTTTGGAAGGGAAATCGCGCAGCGAAATCAAATAGCGCTTGGATGCTGTGTACGGTAACTCTTCTCCTTCTATGGCGACCGTCAAAAATTGGTTTAACGAGTTGCAACGTGGTCGCACGTCGATTTTTGAAGAGCCACGTCCAGGTGCTCCGAAAACGGCTACCACGGAAGATAACGTGACAAAAATTCACGATCTCGTATTGGCAGATCGACGATTGAAGGTGCGCGAGATAGCTAAGATCGTAGGCATCTCAAAAGACCGCGTGGTTCATGTCCTGCATGAAATTTGGGGCATGAGAATGCTGTCGGCGCGATGGGTGCCGCGTTTGCTCACTCCGGACAACAAGCGCAACCGTGAGACAACTTCAGAGCAATGTCTGACGCTGTTTAATCGCGATCCGAAGGAGTTTCTACGTCGTTTCGTGACAGTCGACGAAACATGGATCCACTGGTATACACCAGAGACCAAGGAACAGTCGAAACAGTGGACTTTACCCGGCGAAAGTGCTCCGAAGAAGGCGAAGACTGCCCCATCGGCCGGAAAGGTGATGGCCACCGTTTTCTGGGATTCACAAGGTGTGATCTACATCGACTACCTGGAGAGGGGCAAAACGGTCACAGGGCTGTACTATGCCGAATTATTGGGCCGATTCGATGTCGAATTACAGAAAAAACGGCCTTATTTGGCGAAGAAAAAAGTACTCTTCCACCATGACAACGCACCGGCTCACACCTCCGCCGTCGCTATGGCCAAATTGGACTAATTAGTCTACGAACTGCTGCCCCATCCACCGTATTCTCCAGATTAAGCCCCGTGCGACTTCTTTTTGTTTCCAAACTTGAAAAAGTCACTCGCCGGGCAGAAATTTGAGTCGAATGAGGAGGTAATCGCTGCCACGGAAGCCTACTTTTCAGACCTCGAGGAAACGTATTTCAGACGGGTTAAAGAAGTTGGAACATTGCTGGGCCAAGTGTATCGAACTAAAAGGAGACTGTGTTGAAAAATAAAACGCCACTTTTCCAAAATTTTCGTTTTTCTTTTGTAGGCTAAGTACTTATCGGACCACCCTCGTATACTCGTATTTTTTGGATCGATGAATTTGAATATATCATTTGCTTGGCCCTAAAAGGTTATGTAGAGGTTAATCAAGGTCATTCAAAGTTCTGTTCGAAGTTAATTTTGGAAAACCTAAACTCGCTTACTCCCTCCGTAACTACACTCAAATAGAGTGATATTTAGTACAATCATAGATACAATTTCCGGACCTCAGACTACTCTATCAAAGGTGTACAACGTATACGAAAAATTTCGCTAATACTATCATATAAAAATATATAAAAATTGAAAACAACAAAACTTACTTACCATCTAACGAAAAGTTCGGTGTATAAATGAAAAAAAATTCCGTTATAAATGTGTAATTTAAAAGGAAAGAATCAGTGCCAGATAAAGTATCCAAATACCTAAAACAATACGAGATCCTAGCGGTTAATAATAATCAACATAATGTCGAAATATAAAAAGGCGATTGGACACGCCTCATGCATATGGTTCAAATGAAGAAGGCAATAGGTCATGATGTACCTGTTAGTCCAATTGAATATGATTACGCTATTATGTAAGTGGATTGTCATGATACTTCAAGAGAATAAAAAGTCCAGAAAAATTTTTTTTAACACTGGAGTAGATTGATATATTATCTAGTTCCGTGTCTCGGACGCCGAAAGAGGCGCGATCATTGGTTGAAATATAGTCACGTGATCGGTTATAAAATTGTGCGTATGTATGTAATGTGTATGCATATGGAAGATTGCTGCAAATTTTTGCGAATGATTAAACGTTCGAAATGTATAGCCATAAGTGGACATGAACTAGATATGAATTGATTGATTTATTCATATTACCTTAAAATAAAAACCGTACAACTAGAACAATTTTTTTTAATTTTGTTTAACGTCGCTTTATTTATGCTTCATCAGTGCTAATCAGTGACGGAGGCTTGCAATGTGTTTGAGAACAGAGTACATAAAACTTTTTTCAGTGGTGCTTGTATCAATCAGCAGGGACTGGGAATCGAACCCGGGCCTACCGGGTGCGAGTCCGTCGCCCTACCGACCGAGCCATTGCAGGCCTCAACAAGAAAAATTAATGGAACTTTACTCTTTACGATTATAATTAAGCTTCGAATAATTATAGTGAACAGTAAAATATATAAATCACAGATTATTTCGATAAAATATCGTTTAGTGATTCCGCTCTTATTCAGTTATGTAAAATATTAAAAAATTATTTAGAAAATACACTAATTACAACCATAAACATCTACTAAAGTATATTATTTATATTATGAAGCACATTATTACATATAAAGTTTTTGAAGTTCATTTTATACTTTTTATCGTGTTTTTGAAACTTCTCGATGATTTTTTAGGATGGAACTTTGGATGATAAAAAACTTAATACTTTATATTCATAATAATTTAATAGATTGGTCATATCTCCTATCAAACAAAGTAAATATTTTATGAATATTCGATTTTCGATTTTTGATTTCGCAAATAAAAGTTAAGATCTATATTTGAGCATTCAAATGAATGCAAAGGGCTATAATGACGGTCGAAACTTCAATAAAATAATAAAAAAGTGCATAATCTCGAAAAATATAACGCAATAACCTACAAAGTCAAATTCAATCAAAATTTACCTATATAACCGTTGCCCATCACAATAATAATAATAATAATGATCTCATAGCGTTTCCAAGTTTTGAAGAGACCCCTTTGCTAAGAAATGATTCCAGATATTACCGCGTTCCAAAGTCAAGATCAATAAGCAAGAAAATAATAAGCAATAGTCAGTGCCCTTACAAGCGTCGATTTCAATCTTGGCTAAAATTATGATATGGTTAATATATCATAACTAGTACTCTCAAACAGCATTCCAATCCTTTTGTTCGTTGTTGTTATCCGTTGAGGATGACCACTGTCTCGGACGTGTCATGCATTCCGTTTATTCGAAACGTTCGACTAGCATAAGCATGTCCCATCACCAAATGCTTATACATCGTGGTAGCACGACACTTTTCTCACCATTTTTACGATTATCTCGATTTATGATGTTCTAATTTACATAAATCTTCTTGAACATTAACAATGTCAAATTTTTTCATGTAAATAGTTGGTTGCAAATATTCTTAATAGTCCAGTCATTTCCAATGCAACCGTTGAAATATTTGTAATAGGTATCAAATAAATGTTCAATTATTAGTTATCGTAACATTTTACATCAATGTGTAGAAAATTATCAACCTGATATAAACCGGACAACTGTAAGTTAACAATAACAATGACAGATTTATTAGACAGACTTTCCCTAGGTTTATTAACAGAAAATAAATGTATATTTATAATATTAGTTTGAATCATCTTTATATTCTACTGATATGTATTTCCTTCATTATTCTGTACTTAATTTTTTTATTAGTTCTTTTTATAGTTAATGTTTGCTTACAAATTATAAACTCTTTCAATTGTGCCTTAGTATATTTTTGCAGTCTTTCTTATTAGCTTCATAATCTTCTCTTTTTGCTTGAGTTTTTCAAATAATATCGATTCTTTCTTTATAGTTAAAATACATTTTTCTCTATTATTTTTATTATTTATAGTACTTATGAGTTTAAAATCACAAGAAGTACTTTTTCTTAAACAAATATTATTTGGTGCTTTACTTCGCTCGGCTTGTTCTTCTTCTTGTAGACGAGGAATCGTAAATAAATTTGATACTCGTATAATTTAGTATTTAATAATTGGTATTCGATCATTTTATAGGAGTTATGAAATCAAAAAAACCCGTTTATAAATTTTATGTAATTCAGAATTAAAAAAAAGTTATTCATCGGTCGTGCGTTGTATCACGCTAATGCCGTAGAATTTCAAATCACACTAACTTCCTTATAATACGATAACGATTGTGGTACTATTTATTTTTTCAGAAAAATTAATTTCATTAGCTTAAATGGCTTGTGGCATAGAGTTAATATTGAGTTAATATAATAGGATATTTAAACGACACCTGCATAGTCGACATGACAATTTTTATATTTAAAACTGCACGGTATAGAAATCAGTATTAAAAAAATTTGAGACTGAATTTGAACTGTCAGAAATATAAAAATCATAATCTCATATTCCATAAATTTATTTTTATATAACATCTTTGTCATTTACTTTTATATAACATCGAAATCGAATTCGACTGGAAAAATGTTAGTCAATTAGGAGAAAAGAAAGTACTAGAAAAAAAATAGATCATTTATTCCAGAATTAAGAGGAAAACTGATGACGTTTAAAATGACGTTTAAAAATATTTTGAAAAGCTAGTTTTTAATATTTTTCCAATTATAACAATCATCTGATAAAATATATTTTCTGTATATGAATATCATCTAAAACTACACTTACTACTCTTAACTTATAATATACTAATTTTACTCATATAAATGTTAAGGAGGATTAAAAAAATATTGTTGTACTTTTCAGGTATTCCAATAAAATCAACAATGGACAATACTACTACTGTTCAATATGCCGGGTTAATTAGTCAGTTATCGGATAAAGCACGATCGGTAATCAGAGACTTAGATCCAACAAATGACCTTACATTTCTTCGCATTCGAAGTAAAAAGCATGAAATAATGGTGGCTCCAGATAAAGAGTTTATTTTAATTGTAGTACAGAACCCAGTGGATTGATGAGAAAATAATGTGATTTATTATAAAATCATAAAAGGCTCCATAAAAAATCGGCATATTTTAATAAAATGAACAAATTTTATGACATAAAAATTTTACATTCAAGTGTACTTTTTCTAAGTTTCTTAAAAATAAATAAATATAACGTTTGGTAAATTAAATTAGTAAATTGTGTCAAAGAAATTTTTTCTTATGAGCGTTTTATATACTCCACCACTTAATAATTGATTTATTTTAATTCTAATATTTATGATTTTATCTCAATGAAGCAGTTATATCGTGTGTGTGTGTATGTGTGTATGTATGCGGAGTTTGAAACGATTTTTTTTCAAATATTTGAATATATTCCAACTTTAAATAGTACCTAATAATTTAATATTTCTTATGATTGTTTTTGTTCTTTTTGGCTTGAGAAAGAACATATTCATTAACTATTAACTTTTTTATGTAATTATTGTAGGATGACAATTTTTATCATAAAATTTGGGTGGCACTTTGGATATTTTAAAAGCAGTGGTTAATTCAATTTATCGCTTTTAGCACAAGAGTAATGCCAATTGTTACTTCGTAACAAGACCCAGGAGCTCAACAGGCTAACCTAACGTTGAAGGATGTTAGAATGAAGCACTGTCTAGGTCTACAGGTGATCTTGATCAAAAAGAAAGATGCACTAAATACTATCGAACTTTTCGAAAGATCACTATGTGTGCTAAAGAAGAGAATGTACAAATGACGTGATCTTGTATAAGTAAGCATGAAGTGATCGCGATAATGCTCGAATATATATTGTAACGGGGTGAATCCCGTTTAATTAATTTTATCCGCGTAATCGTATTGAAAAGCGCACGTAATTACCTATGTTAAATACGGAAGTCGGAAAGCAAGAGGGAACGGGTGTCAGTCAACCAACTAACTACAGATATGAGAAGAACACTTCGAAAGTACTGTTAACTTCACATACGAGAACTTTTATTATCTCTCAATATTACATCAACTTCGGCCCGCGTGTTTATGTTTACATGCCGCGCGCGCGACAACAACAGGCAGTGTCGGATCGCTCGCCGCTCTTTGTTCGCCGAGATGTTACATGCACACTTTTTGTCGAATCGAGGTATTAGTCGTGTAGCAATTATTTCACGATCGCGAAATTAAGCTGGCCAGCTTACCTTTTATTGCAGTCGTACGGAGAACGAAAGAAACGGTGCGCACTCTCGTTGCGGGAAAGTCTGTCCTTTTTGCACGAGGAAGTTCGCGTTTTCGGTTTCTTTCTCGCTGGCGAAACCCCTCACACGCGCACTCTCACACACGCTTTTCTGGCAAGCGTAGGCTCCGCTGTCGCAGCTCCAATTCGGTTCGTGTATCGGCAACTTATTCCGCGCTTTCAGCTAAACGTGTCGATGGCTGATCCTTCACTTGCCGCTCCTCGTATCGGTAGTTAGGCCTGCACTGGTTCGTTTTCAATCGCGCGCGTTCCGCCTCGTCGCGTGCCGAATTCCCTCATTACATTTTTCGTCTACCGGTAAGTGCTGCCCCCGCAGGTAGCCACTAGGTTAGGCTATTAGCGCTAATTCGACGTTTAACGTCACAATATATTATAAAATACGACGATCGTTCAATAAGTCCATGACTTTCAAGAAAAAAAAACTATTTATATAAATAATTCCAATTTATTTTTCAATATAGTTTAATCCTTTTAACTCTATATATTTATTGTAGCGGTGCTCAAGCTTTTTTATGCCTTCAAAAAAGTAATTTTTATCAAACTCCTCAAAATGCTCATTTATTGTAGCAGTTACCTCTTCGTTAGACGTAATCTTTTACCCACTAGCCAAATCTTCTTGTCAGAAAACAAAAACTAATCGGAAGGGGCTTAATCTAGAGAATAAAATGGATGAAGAATTATTTCGTAGCGTAAATTAAATAATTTAACCGTTGCAATGAACTCGTGTGAGCTGGTCCATTGTCATGGTGGAAAAAGAATTTTTTTTTCACTAGATGGGACCGCTTTTCCTTTAGTATGACATCAAATCGGTATAATAATACATATTCTCCTGTAATAGTTCTTTCAATCTGTAGGTAATCAATTAATATTATACCGCTTCAATTCTAAGAAATTGTAGTCATGACTTTTCCGGCTGATCGTACCGTTTTCGCATTTTCGGCGCAGATTCACCTGGCCCAGACTACATTTTCGATTGATTTTTCATTTCTGGCATATAATAATGAATCCATGTTTTATTAACAGTAACGTAGTGATGCAAAAAGTTCTTTTATTACGTTAAAACATGCTCAGACGTAACTACATGAGCTCGCTTGTTATCAGCTATGAGCAAGTGCGGCACCCATCTTGCAGACAACTTTCTCATGTCCAAACATTCATGTAAAATGTTCCACGTATATCCTACTGAAATGTTAAGAACTTCATTAATCTCACGCACTTTCAATCAACGATCGGTGAGTATCATGAACTTTATCGATCATGTCTTGAATAGTCACCTCTTTTGGACGCTCAACATTACTTGTGCTCTTACGGCCACAACGAAAATCAGTAAACCACTTTAGAAACATGTTATGCGATGAAACAGAGGCTCCATAGTATTTCCTGAGCTTTTCTTCAGTTTTTTTTATTGATTTTCTCTGTAGGAAATGATGTTTAATAAGCACACGAAACTTTTTTTCTATGATTTTGTTTACACAGTTAAAAACTAAATTCAAATAACTGTAAAAAATTTCCAAATCAACGTACTAACTTCAAACTTTATATATGTACTTATACTAGATGAAACTCTATTACAGTGTAAAATAAGTTACAATAACACTACCATTTACCGAGAAGTTACGGACTTATTGAACGGCCCTTGTAAAATGGCGACTTTGTATTTCGTCGAAAGTTATTCATTTTCATTCTTATCACTTTTATGCATTGGATAGAAATGCTTATGAATCAAATTGAAAATCGAGATTATACTCCATCTTAAAGAAAATTTTAACGTTATCCATGTAGTTTTGAGAAAGTTTTTTTGTTCATTAGATCACTAATGTCTTATATCAATGCTCTATCGTTTATAGATATGAGTTAGAAAATATCTTTTTGGTCAATGCATTGATCACATGGTCGAGTGTCATTATTTATAGATAGCATAACCAAAAAATATGATAGATGTACAGGGTGTTCCAAAAGTCTTGGGACATTCAGGTAACTCGCAAGGTAGATTATTTTTTGAAGGGAATTAAAATACAACCAATAGCAATTTTCCACGAAAAATTCGATGTTGATGTTGTCAATGACGTTCAAGGTTTCTGGTACAGAAGGTATAGAATACTATCCATTAAATTATTGAAAAATAACAACTAATTGTCATGGTTGAATTACTTATACATCTAAATCTAAAATATAAACGCCTGAACCTTTCAAGGGCAATTTGATGCTTGCAGATTGCTCTAGAAGTTTAATTTACGATTCATAGACAGTCGCCGAAAATGGGATTAGAGATATATACTAACAACAATTCCCCGACTAGATTATAAGGACGTCAGATCGCCGTTCCTTTATTACGACGATCGTCGAGAATATGGTCTGAAATCGCTGTGTAGGTCTGTTTGCCCGCTGTATGACTGCGCAGAGTGGCGAGCAACACTTCACCTAACTATCAGAATCCTAAATTTCTCTTACGCTCGAATTAGTCGGAAAAATAGCGGCTGATCAGCGCGTAAGGTATAAAACTAGATAATAAATAAATCATATAGATTTAATGAACAATATCTTTTCCATTAAAATAATAATAGTAAAATAATAATAGTAAAATAATAGTAATAAAATAATAGTAATAATAAATAATAATAAATAGAAACAAATGTATCAAATTAATCATTAGTTTTCCGTTCCAGCAATTAATAGGTAACATAAGAATTAACATTATTTATTTTTCAGAAAATGGATATGAATAAATTTGGATTTTACATATTAATTTTATCTACCATTCCATATCAAGGCCAAGCCATTATAGGATACGATTGCGGAGCGAGATCATTAAATATTACCACTGTTTCTTTGCTTGGCGTAGAAGAATGCGATATACCTCCCGGAAAAATTAATAGCACTCAGATCCATGTACAGTTATTACAGTTGAACCAATTCGAGGAAGTACACGTGATACAATGCAAGATACAACTACAACGTCACATTTTTCATTGTGCAATGCACTCCCATAGTTCGGCTGTCAAAGATGGAATACACGAATATATGGTCGAGATCAGCCAAAAACGCTGTTCAGACTTGTATAATAACGGTGCATTATATTTCGATGAAATACGTGTATTACGCGATATTAAAGTTAACCAAACCACAATCCGACCCTTAACACTAACTGGTAGTTTAAAAATCGACGATAGTTGTAACGGTGGTGTGTATTCTGATGCATATGGTACCTGGGAGAATGTTGTGGTTCAAAGTTTAGTAAAAATAACCGTGCAAGACTATACTGCACCAGTTGACTTAAATAACGATCAAGTAAGACTACGCTCAGGTATCAAATGTACATTAACTGAAGAAACCTGTATAGATCCGGAAGGAGGTAATACTTTCTGGAAAACGATACCACGAGACATATGTAAATTCAATCATTACGGGTTATTATACGAAGGCATAGCCAACAAAATAATAGACGAGCAGCAAAACCGTATATATTCCTTGATAACAGAAGATATTACCTTCGCGTTAATGGCCAAAGGGAAAAGACAAATCTGTGGATATGAAATAGTTCAAACAGAACACCCAAAATTATTCATTTTTGAAACCACTATAGGAGTCTCATCCTTTGCTGTAGCAAAGAAATTATCATTAAGTAATTTAGACATATTTGCATACGTTAATTCTAAATTTGTATTCGTCGAGGGTTATATCAAAAATTAAATAAATAGTTTGTATAGAGATGTAGTTGTACAGCGTTGTAGACAAGAACGTGAGATTTTAAAAAATGCTTTAGCAATAGCCACGTATTCACCTGATCAATTCGCGTACAATTTGATGAAAGGACCTGGATATATGGCGGTAACGGCTGGCGAAGTAGTTCACGTCGTCAAATGTATCCCGGTAGATGTAAAGATTTCGCCGGCGACCGAATGTTACGAAGAATTAAAAATAGTCCATAA